AGAACGACAGTGGATGCTTCTCACTCACCCCTGTCTTCAGAAAACCTACCACTAATTGTGAGTCCACCTCCAGTTCTAACTGCGTGATCTTCTTCTCCCAAACTATAGGCATGCCATAATAGATGCCCCATAGCTCCGCTAGCAGTTCCGTACAACGACCTATATTAAGGGAGAAAGCACCATACCATGCAACCACCATTCCCATCCCTCAAGACCCCTCCTGCAGTGGGTAAGCCCAGATTCCCGTATGAGGCACCATCCGTGTTAACTGTTAAGCTTAACCCAGCCATCCGTTGGCATCACCCATCCGACCAATACTTCAACCCGACTCCCTGATGTACTGGTCCCTTTATGCAGCCTATGAGATGACGTTATTTCCTTCGAAGTTTAGACTTTTATTGATAAATAAATCTTAATATTGTAATTTATTGTAAAACTCCGACTTTTTAAAATACAGCGGTATATGAAGAGATTTATAAAGATTCTACTTATATTTTAAAATTATACATACCATATAGTAAACTACCAGAACTTCAGAATTAAGGGTAAATTCAATTCTATTGGTCACTACTTGATTGCTTAGTCACGATTAGATGGGAAATATGGAATTTGGTCACAAGCTTTTGTCACTTCTCGAGAAATGCTTTTGTATACTTTGCAAAAAAAAAAAGAAGTTGCGTATGTATATTCGTCTTTGAATGAGTAAGACAATGAAACTTTGGAAATTTGGCCATTTTGTAGATTATCTTCAATGACGCTTATGAAGATCCTTTAACAAAATAAATCTTCAATGACGCTTGACTATAAAAAATATATAAGAGTAACTATAATAGAATAAAATGAATAATCTTACATAGAATTCATATAATACAACGACATATTGAATTCTTTATTCTACTATGACATAAGAAAAAAAAAGATAAAATAACTAAAACTAGAACTTAAAAATAAATCTTTACAAATTAGTTTAGTTTAATGAATAAAGTAGTTTTAAAATAACATATAGTAAAGAACCACTAAAATATATCGAAGCAATATTTATGAAACAATTACATATATATATATATATATATATATATATATATATATATATATATATATATATATATATTTTGGTCAAATGAAACAATTACATATTTTGCATATAAAATAAACCTAATTTTATAGATGTCAAATTATAACTTTACCATTTTTATTTATTTGATTATTTAAATAATTATGAGAATAATATAAAAATATCGATATATTGTCTTGCGGAATGAATGAAATAATGTGGTAAATATAAAAAATAATAAGTAAAAATAATTTTTATAATTTTAAAGAGTAAACTTTTGCTATTCAGTTTTGATTTGGATTATATGATTTCATGTCTTTTGGTATTCTCTTTTATTATTGATTGCTACTTCCTCTGTATCAAAAAGAATGATTTTGAGGTTTTCTTCTTGTATCAAAATAATAATAATTTACTATAGTATATCTAATGCATTTTTATTTTCAAGATCAATTGATTGGAGTAAGTGGGGGTAAAACACAGTTTGAAATTAACCTTTTAAAAGATATAACACAAAAATAATTAATAAATATACATCATTTATTATTTTCTTAATCTTGGTGAAAATCCTCAAAAATCATTCTATGTAATAAAGAGGGAGTAATAGTTTTGTTAGATTTTGTTGTTGTCGGTTGTATTTTAATAAAAAATTATATTAGGAGTTTTATAGAATTATTTTATTTTACAGGGGATGTGCCTTTAGTCAAGTGGTTAAGTTCATTTGACTCCGTCTTCTCCACCGGAGTTCGACTCCACTAAATCGCGTTACCCCGCGTAGTAGGGATTGGCTATGGATCGGGCCTTGTCGATCCAAAAATATCAAAAAAAATATATTTTATTTTACAATAATTGCAGTGGATAAATTAAGGAACACATCAATTATTTGGAAACTTACTCATAGTCCCAATCAGGCTCAATACGTTTGATAAGATCATCGGTAAAACCGTACCCTAAATTCCTTCATAGAAAACCATTTGTTCTCCTCGCATCACTTGCGGTTACAATCACAGGAAAACATTTTTCTTTAATATAATTATTGGCAAATAAAAGAACAAAGATATAGACAATTCTAGTAATACTTTGATCAGAAAATTAAACATGCATGCATATCTGATATCTCTGTCTCTGAGGAAGATAGTATAATGTTTGACTATAAAACTTGGAATTAGTGTGCCTAAAGGCGGATCTAGATGGATATGCAGAAAACTTAATTTCCGTATACAAATTTAATATCATACATGTTTTTTTCATTTTTTTTTAGAATTTAACGGGGTAATCCCAATATGGTGCCCGCAGTTCGATTTCCGTTGGCCATCGAGGTTTTCATCTGGCCCCCTCGGGCCTCCAGAAAACACACTGAGCGTTGGGCTTGGACGGCCCGACAGGAACCGGCCTCAAGCCTTGGTGCTAGTCGGGTTTCGGTCCGGATACGTGGATTATAAAAAAAAAAAAAAGTAAGACCTTCAAAAGAGAATAAACGTAGAGGATATGACAGAAAATAATATCTTTAATAAAAAAAAAAAAAAATTGCTAACCTTAGGAGTGCGTGTGGGTTAATGCAGCCGATGTTTACGGTGTTGAAAGAGGAACTTGGACCAATAGGCTGATCGAAGTGTGTCAAACCAAAGCTGCACATGTAGCAAGGCAAACGAAAAAGCTGTGATTGAAGCAAGTGAAATAATGAAGGCTAAATTCCACGCGAGTCTCCGGTCATAGATCAAGAATAACGTCGCACAGAAAGCTATGACCATTGCGATAATGGAGACAAACAATGCCAAAAGTCCCAACATTAGCCTTGAGGGTAATGACACAAGAAAATCATCTTCAGCATATCTTGACGTCAAGATTGACAAGAAAATCACTATAGATGTTGAGGAGGAGCATAGCGCGACCGCATCCGATAGGATAAATATATTAAACCATTTCTTTTTTTGGAGGATAGGAAGTCCTGATTCTTCATTGTTCCCTCCTGGTACGGTAAAGGCCGCGGCAAAAACTACCGTTGCTATTAGCGTTGCTACAAGCATACATGATGTTGCAGTATCTTTCATCCATTTCTCTCCTTCTTTCCGTAATTCTTTGTGTCCATTAGTAAAGATGTCTTGCGCTAATTCCCCTTCTTTATTCTTTGATTTGATGTATGAACGAGGAACAATCTTTTTCACAGCCTGAAATACGCAATATAGTATGGTAATTAAAATTGTTAAAGAAAATGATTATTGGTTTCATGTGTTTAATAATTACCTTGAACCAAAGAATCTCTCTTTGCATTTGAAGTGCAGCCCCTGATACAATATGTAGTCGATCATGAGGAGGCAAGCTTGCAACAAGATGCAACAGAGTATTATTTGTGGCTTCTTCTCGATAAGAAGCTATTAAGTCCTTGATTGCTCCGAGTTCATATATGATGTTGAAGATGCTTTCATGACGATTTATAGCAGCAATGTGAAACAAGCTTCGGTTTCTTCTATCGACTTTCCATATCAAATCTGGATACGAACGAATAAGAATGACTAGGAACTCGACATTTCCACATGATGCAGCATCAAAGAGTAGTCTTGTAGGTTTTCTCAATAAATCCGAAACCTCTTCATCAGATTTTTGAATAATCAAGTTCCATATATCCTCCACCAACTTGTGAGCCAAGCTTCTCATTTTAGCTTTATGAAACATCCCTTCAAACACTAAAAGGCCACAAAAAAAAAAAAAAAAAAAAAAAACAGTGTTTAATTTGTACATGGATTTGCAATTAATATATAAGAACTATTTGATTATACATCTTACTTAAATGCCCTAACCACTGAAAGAAATTGAGATTTTTTCTGTGACCGATAGCCAAAGGCTTGCGAGCTAAAAGATGTAACCCGGTTTCCATAGCACGGTTACAAGAAGTAGCTAGTATTTGGTATCTTTCCAACATCCACAAAGCTACATCTGCACAATCAAACTCAAAACTAGCTTCATCATGACACTTGTAACCAAATTTTCATACCTAACTTGATCATCGCGGAAAAAAGATTGTTTTACCAAAAATGTTGGCATATATGATGGCATGAAAGATATCTACAAGTTGCACATTACTCAAGCTTGTGAAATCAGTTTGACTATAGAGGTAAATAACCATATCTCTGTGTCCAAACAAAGCAGCCATATGGAGTGGAATCAATTCACTATTGCCTGGAATCAGCGGAAGATCCGGGTTCATATCTGTGGATGTCGGAATCCGCAATACCAGTTTTATGATGTATATTGGATCGTCTAGCCTTGCTAATTCGAACAACAATCGTGATAAGAAAACAAGAGAGTAAAGTGTGTATATCTGTTTATCGATCAAGAAAAATCGTCCCCTTTTTACAATGGTTTTAGTTCTCTATTTATAGTCACGCGATTCAAAACCGAAGTCGTTCATCAAGCCGCAGATATCGCCTTCATCAATGTTTCCGTTTCAAATCTTCCGAACCTCGCAAATCCCGTATGACCCGCCTTTCATTTAATTCGCGAGATCCCGACGTTTCACTCGAGCTAGGCCGACTTTTACTGGGCCGTTCTTTTTATCTTTTGAAACGGGCTGACGGCCCACTTCGTTTCATTGTCCACCACTTTTCTATGGGCCGGATCCGACTTGCGAGATCCAACACCAACAGTTTGCCCCCCAAGTGTTCCGAAGTGAACACTTCGGAATACTTTAGATGCTGAACTTTTTCTCAGGCTCGGAGGCTTCGTCGTTAATCCCGCTTTTCCCGGGATTTGGTCTTCGACCGAAGTGACGTTTCGAGATCCTAAGGTATATTTTTTCCCGCGGATCGAGGGATTTTCCTCGGGAAGACAAAGACGCTTCGAGACCCTAGGGTTTCTCGCTTTGCCGCCCAATGACCCTCTATATAATCATTAGACTCTTCGGGTTCTGCAAACACACACGTCGTCGTCTTCTCCAAACCGCTTCTGCTTCCTTCCGTATTTAAAGGTAACTCTCTTCTCTCTACTTTTACCTCTTAACACTTTTCCGATTACGCTTAGTTCTTGCTATTCAGTTTCGGATTCGTGTTAGTTCACCGCTCTAGATTAGTTCCGTGCTAGATTTAGGCCAGAGATCTAAAAGATTTCTTAGATTTTCAGCCCTCTGCTCCGAATTTGTTCGCTGTTCTTCAACTCCTCCGCCGTGTTCTTGATATTCCGTTGAATTGCAACCGTTTTCCGAAGAACATCAACCGCTTAACCTTTCCGGTTTCTAGGTTTTCACGAAGATCTTCGAAGTTTGCTCAAGCGTATTCTTGAGTTGTTCTTGAAATATCTTCCCAAATCCCTGGCGCCAGATCTTGTTTCGTCTCTACATCTTCCTTAATTAAGTTATGGCTCCGAAGCGAAGCAGGAAGATCCAGAATGAGACTCACATCATGGAAGGCGAGTTCGGGAAGTATTTTTCTTCGAATCTCGACAATAAAAAACTGGCTCTGCTGAAAGGTGCCTGCCAGATCCCTCGTCAAGTCTCCTTGATTACTCCGGGTCCGACAGATTCTCCAGAGTCTCCACCTACCGGTCACACTTGCGCTTTTGAAATTTTCTTTTCGGAATGCGGGCTATCTTTTCCGCTTCCCAGCCTTTTGGTCGAATTGATGCACGAGTTCGGAATCGCACTTCCTCAACTATGTCCAAATGTAGTTAGGACCGTCCTGTGCCTCCAGACCCTCGCAGAGGAAAATGGATACCGTATCACGCTATCCGACGTACTCCATCTTTATACAGTAAAGAAGGGGCGAACCCCGGGGACATTTTTTCTCAGTCCTCGGAGTAATTTCAGAGTCTTCGGGGATTTTCCCGAAAAGGACGAGCAATGGAGAAAGTCCTACTTCTTCTTCGTTGTAGACGAATTTTCTTATGGTCCAAACACGGCTTATTTCGTTCGTGAATGGACTCGTCGTCCCGGTAGATAGCTCCTTAGGTTTTTCGCTGCTTTTCACTCGTTTTTTTTTTCTTTCTAATCCGTCAATGTTTTTGCTTTTGCAGCTAAACTTCCGAAGAAAACGCTTTCTCATACTTTTGCGGGGCAATTCGTAAAGATTTGCAGTAACAGCGACCTGTCGTGGGAATTGTTCACTTGCGAACGCATCCGGAGTTCGTGTGCTCGAATTGTCTCGCGATCCGACCTCATTTCCTCCACTCCTCCCTCCTCCCCTACTGTCGCCACTAACATGTCTCCTCTTTCCTATCGCGAAGAGAAGAGGCTCCAGAAGGAAAGGGAAAAAGCGAGAGAAGCGAGAGAGAGAGAAGATAAGGCCAGGATGGTGAAGGCCTTGGACGAAGGGAAATCCAGATCTTCATCTGGTAAAGGGAAGAATTCGGGTACCGTAGATCTGGTTTCCGAATCGAAGACTTCTGATCATCGTGATCAAAAGAAAGTGTCTTCGGGAAAAGACCTAATCCGGATCTCGGATTCTCGCTCCTCCCGATCTTCTCGGGAGAAAGAAATTTCTGAAGGAGGCCATAGTGCAACCTCCTCAAGGAAACGCAGGAACGAGGAATCTGAAATTCCTCCCCTTCAACGCAAGAGTCGTTCTCGTCCGAACGACGAGAAAAATCCTTCCGAGGATGCTGGAACCAGTCTGGGGTCAAAACCAGAAGAAAATGAAGATCCACAACGGGCCCCGGAGTCTGACTTGCCAACTCAGATTCTTGTCCTGCCTTCGCGGGACTCTGAGAACCGGGAATCCGTCCGTCAGGAGATTCCGATCCCTACTGGTAAGTAGAGTCACTTCGTATTCCTCTCTCGCTTCGAGTTCATTTTGACATTTTTTTTTTTGAACAGCTCCTCCGAAGTCACCAGCTGATTTCATGAGGAACTTTACTCCTGTTGGGATGAGGATTCCTCCCTTTAATGACTTGAAGGAGGTCAACAGGGCGAACTACTTTCGCTTCGCTGATAAACTCGGAGAGGTAATTCTTTGAACTCTTCTCCTCTTTTATAAAAATAAGAACTTTTCTTTCCGTCCTCATGAATCTTCGTTTTGACAGTTGATGCTCGAGTACAACACCACCTTCTCCTGCCATGAGTCCCAGCTCTTTCCAGTTAACGAGCTGGATGGCCTCAGGGCCCGGGTCGCCGAACTCGAAGAAGAAGTCCGTCAACTCAAGGAGATGGAAGAGGAAAATGCCAAAGCGGTGGCAAAGGCAAACGAGATTCGGGAGCGAATGCTGGAGACCGAAGGTCGCTGCAACCTTCTTGACATTGCCAAGACTGATCTTTCCGAGAAGCTGAAGATCGGGAAGAACCTGTATCTCGAGGCATGTGAAAAGATTACCTCGCTGGAAGCTGAAGTTAAGCGAAGCGAGGAATGGTGCAAGATCGCTGCTGAGAAACGGGACGAGGAGCTCGCAGCAGCGAAAAAAGATGAAAGGTTGAGGCTCCGTGAACTCTATAGCAGACTCGCCTCGAAGCATGAGACCTACTACAAGGCCATCAGTGATAATGAGATGATCGGGACGCGTCTTGCCGAGACTCGGGCGAACCGAGAACTTCTTGAGGAGATTCTGAAGGGAGAGATTCCGGACTTAAAAGCCGAACTAGAGTCGGTAAAGAAAGACGAGGAAGAGGCTGAGAAGAAAGCTCGCGAGGTAAGCGCTCTCAGACCTCAACCAAATGAGTTCGCTCATCTCTTTGTAGCGACTCCCCCAGAGCCCGTGCAAGAGACATCTCTTCCCAAAGATGATGTCGCCATTGATGAGTTCGGAACTAATAAGGGTTTCATGACTGGCCAGGACTTCGAAGCTGCCGTTCTGCCCGAGGAGATGCAGTAAGATCCCGACGTCAAGGGTCAATGATCTGGTTCCGGGGATGTGATGGCTAGTGCCCCCCTTTGTTGTTTTTATTATTTAAACCCAAAAACTATTTATCGTTTTTTTTTTTTTTGAAGACTTGAATATTTCCCCTCTATTTTTATATGAGTCCTTTTGAATTTTAAATCCGGAGTATTCGAGAAATTTGAATACCTCGTATGAAAAATTAAGAAATACTTAAGATTTCAACGAGATACGCAGTTTACACGAACGCAGAATTCATTCTTCAATGGATAAGGGAAATACTAAGAACAAGAGTTAAGTGGGTGTTCTTAATATTAAAAATGAGGATCGGGACTCGGAGTCCGCAGAAATCCCTAGTCTGTGTTGAACCAGACCTTTTTTGCTAAATAAAACTTAGGCTTATCTTTCAAGAATTACCAGAGGTCTGAGCTCGGTTTCGAGAAAAGTAGTTACGAGGTTCTTCTCGGTTTCACGGATTGCGAGATTATTCTCGGCTTCTTTGAAAGATGTTTAGAAAAATATAAACATTTTATTTGATTTAGAGACTGCACTCGAAGTTCGAGCTGCCTACGTACCCAAAGGTGGGGATCAAGTCTATCGTAGTTCGATTTACAATAATAAAAATAATAAAATACTTAAATAAAGTATCTCTTCAGATGAATGGAATTCCAAGCTCTTCGGACTGCTTTTCCTTCCATGTTTTCAAGGCGATAAACTCCATTGCGAACTACCTGAATAATTCGATAAGGACCTTCCCAGTTCACGCCTAACTTTCCCGCTCCGTCTTCGGCTGTATTTTGCTGAACTCTGCGTAATACTAATGTCCCAACGTCGAAATGCCGATTTCGGACAGTCGAATTATAGTATCGAGCTGCGGCATTCTGGTAATTTTGCATTCGAATCAAAGCTCGATCGCGTTGCTCCTCAATGGTATCAATAACGTCCACCATCAGTTCGCTATTTGCTGCCTCGTTCTGCGGGTTATTCATCCGTCTCGGACTTGGCACAGATATTTCAGCAGGGATCACAGCCTCCATTCCATAAACTAATGAAAATGGTGTTTCACCAGTTGCACGCCTAGGCGTAGTGCGAATTGCCCAGAGAACACTCTGTAGTTCATTAAACCAAGTTCCTTTGTGCGACTTGAGTTTTTTCTTCAAAGTAGACAGAACAGTTTTGTTCATTGCTTCAGCTTGACCATTACCCTGCGGATAACGAGGCGTTGATCGACTGAGTCTGATCTGCCATTCTTCGCAGAAAGATTCGAATTGCCATGAAATGAACTGAGGTCCGTTATCAGTAACGATCTCATATGGCAAACCGTGCCTACAAATGATGTCCTGCCAAATGAACTTGCGAACTTGAACCTGAGTTATGTTTACGTAGGCTGCCGCCTCTACCCACTTCG